TTTTCAGGGTCAAATAGTCTTCTTCTGAAAATTAATAACTAACACACACACATTTTAGTTTTTAAGTTAGCATTTCCTCTGCACATAAGCCAATCAAATAAGAGTCTCATAACTTAAAAAATTGAAAGCACTTGCAAAAGAGTAGATTTATAAATATAAGCATTTAAAAGGAGAAAAATTCTCTCTCGACACTTTCTTTGAATTTAAATAGCATTAGTTCTATATTATGAAGTTATCTGGTAAGGACAGACTTTCAATTACCCTGTTATTTCCTATTAAATTACTTCATTTCTATCTTGGTCTTACCATGGGAACATAAACAGTATGACAAAAACATGGTTGGGTAAGTTTATACTGGCTGATAAGGATCAAGATTTTATACCTTTAGCCTTTGTTCTAGCATTAACTTAAGAATAGATCTTATTCAAGTATACCTCTGCAGACAAATAAATCAATATCTCTACATTTTCCAGGCCTACTTTAGTATATGAATTTCAACAAAATAGAGTAACTCGTTCAAGAAGTATCCACAGTGCCAGACAATAAAAGAAACAAAGATACACAAACAAGTTTCTACATAAAAATTGATGGCTAATATTAAAAACCAATCCATTGCATCAGAATATTTGAGTGCTCGGGGCCGGCCCGGTGGCGCACTGTAGCAGGATTCGGATCGCCGAGGGTTCGGATCCCACATATAGACCGGCCGCTCACAGGCTGAGCGAGGAGCGGGGGCAACACCGAGGGTTGCGATCCCGTTGCTGGTCCCGGTCCGGTACGGGCGCGACACTGAGGGTTGCGATCCGTTGCCGGTCACGAAAAAAAGACAAAAAGACAAAAAAAAAAAAAAATCAACAAAATTTGCAAACCTTTATTTAGACTGACCAAGAAAAAAGAGAAAAGACCACAATTACTAAAATCAGAAATAAAGCAGGGGCATTATCACATTGTCACAATGGCTTTTTGTGGGGATAAGATTTAGTTTTTCTCTCTCTCACTTGCATTTTTGTTCTACAAGTGGATTTTGTTCTTTCTTGTATATTTGTGGTAGTGATTATTGTTTTTAGATTCCAGATACATGACTTCATTGAGGATTTCTTGTAGGGCTGATCATGTGGTGGCGAACTCCTGCAGCTTTTTTTCTGCCAGGAAAATACACTCTTTTCCCCTCATTTCTGAAGAATAGCCTTGCTGGCTATAGTATTCTTGGCTGGCAGATTTTTTCTTTGAGTATTTTGAATACATCATTCCATTCTCTTCTGGCTTGTAGAGTTTTTGTCAAGAAATCTGCTGTTAGTCTGATTGGAGCTCCCTTATAGGTGACTTGACGCTTTTCTCTTGTTTCTTTTAGAATTCCCTCTTTGTCTTTGAGCTTTGCCAGTTTGACTATAACGTATCTTGGAGAGGATCTTTTTGAGTTGAATCTGTTTGGGTATCTTTGAGCCTCTTGGATCTGAAGATCCATGTTTCTCCCTATACCTTGGAAGTTTTCCATTATTATTTTGTTGGATAGGTTTTTAATGCCTTTTCATTTCTTTTCCTCTTCTGGAACACCCATGATTCAAATGTTTGTACATTTATGGTTGTCTGCTAGCTCTCTTAGGTATTCTTTATTTTTTAAAATTTTGTTTTCCTTTTTTTTTTTTATCTGCCTGGATTATTTCAAAAAGTCTATCTTCAAGATCAGAAATTCTTTCTTCTGTTTGTTCTAGCCTGCTTCTTAAGCTATTGGTTGTGTTTTTTATTGCATTGAGTGAATCTTTCAGTTCCATTAGTTCTGCTACATTCTCTTTTAAGATATCAATTTCTATGTAAATTTCCACCTTCATATCCTGGATTATTTTTCTCATTTCATTTTGTTGTTTAACTGAGTCTTCTGTATCTCATTGAGTTTCCTTAAGATTGTTGCTCAGAATTCCTTTAAAATCATTTCAAGGGTTTCCTGCTCTATAGAGTCTGGTACTTGAGAATTACTGTATTCTTTTGGTGGTGTTATATTTTCTTGGGTTTTTGTACTTCTAGTACCTATACATTGGTGTCTGGTCATCTAGTATAGCATTTGCATCTTAAAAAAAAAAAAAAAAAAAAAAAAAAAAAGAAAATTATATTGTAGCTACTTTATGGAGTCATATTTTTCCCCTTCATCTAATGAGTCAAATTTTAAATGTCTGTACCTAATCATCCATATTTAATTTTATACTTAGCTTTCCTTCTGTTTCCTATTAATTCACAAAAATTAATTAGGTATGACATTTGATGACTGTTTTGTAATTTCTACTATAATAATAATCTATGTCCTATAAAGAAAAAGAGTACAAATTTGGTACCAATGGTTTATATATTAATATGAACGTTCTTGTCAGGCCATAATTTATTATTATAGATAAAAGCCTGGCTCTTTCTCTATATCATTAGTACACAAAACTATTCTGAAATTAATAACACTATGTAATGGATTTTTTTTCCTTTTCTAATTATTGTAATAATGTCTATAAATACTGAAGCATATTCTCTGCAACTTCCCAGTGAGCTGTGTAATCTGTCTGCATTGTTTGCATTTCTCAAACAAATACTATATAAAGTGATTGATAATACCGTCTTAATTAATTTTTTTTTTTTTTTTAAAGATGACCGGTAAGGGGATCTTAACCCTTGACTTGGTGTTGTCAGCACCACGCTCACCCAGTGAGCGAACCGGCGCACTCTCCCGAGTGAGCCACGGGCCGGCCCGTCTTAATTAATTTTGAGAAGGAAGAAACAAACACAGGAGTATTTAGGAGAAGATACTGTACCATAGTAAAAAAAAAAAATAGCTGGTTGGCTGAACTTCTATAGAAGGTATCTATCACAACTCACCCCATCTTTTTCTTCTCCTATATTATTTCCTCTTGCATATGATACCAACCGTCCACTAAACTGAGCAACCAGGAACATTATTAACTCTTACTCCTTCTCAGTCGCTCTTATCTAAATGATCAATAAGTCCTGTCCATGTCACCTTTTAAGTACACAGTATTCTGAGTCTGTCCCATCCTCTCCATTTCTACTGTCATTTCCTTGGTTCAGTTCTTCATCGTTATGTATCTGAAATACAATACCCTCCCTGACCCAATCCAAGGAGCTTTTTACAGGAGAGTTCTGCTTAAAACTTAAAATAACTTCCTCATAGACTTTAACGAGGAGTCTCCTAATTAGAAAGGAGGACATTCACAATAGGAATCCTCACCATATCTGACCCCCCACCTCCCCCTTCCCTTCACCCCCAGCCATTCTAAATTAAGTCTAGTTTCCCAAATGCCTGTTACTTTTCTCAGCTGGCTTCTTTGCCTGAAATATCCAATCCTTTTGAGTAGGGATTATCCAGGTGTTCGCATATTCCAAGTACTTAAATTTATCAAAGTAATTATTATATTTATGCTATAATGTTATGTCTGTTGTGTCTCACTAGGCTATAAGCTTTTTGAAAGTATGGACCAAGTTCAATTAATCTATCTCCAGAATCCAGCACATAACTTAATCTATAGTAAGCACTGTGAATTTCTAAATTAATTCTACCTCTAAAATCTTTTTTCTACTCTAGTCTGTCCATCACCATTTGCAAGTACATATAAAATACCAGGCTATAAACTGCTTAAGAGGAGTTCTGGTCAAGATGGTGGAATAGAAGGTCCCCAGTGTTGCTCTCTCCCACAAATCAACGAATTTACAACTATAAAAATGTAACATCAGCCAAGCTGGGGCTGCTAGAACTCAGGTGAAGAGGAGAAGAGACCTATGGAACTCATGAAGGCAGGAGAAACCACGATGAGAGAAAGAAAAAACTGCTCTCAGCATTTCAGGATGCAGCCGCTTTAATGCTGGCGCACATGGAGCAGGAGCCAGCAGAAGCTGCAGCTGTGCCCTTTAGATGGAGTTACTTGGAGGCGGAAGGGGAGAAGAGTACTTGGTGGCCCCCAGGACAGCAAGACCACTAATATGGTTCTCGTGGACCCATGCAGGAATGAGGAGCCAGAACAACTGAAAAAGGGGAGCCATTCAGAGGCTGGTGAGTCAGCACAAGGGACCAGCACAGGGCCCATCCCATGGGAGGTGTATGGAGCACGGGCGGTGAGGAGGACAGGTCCACTGGGATAAAACTGGGACAAGGCAAGGACAGCTGATCTGCCCCACATCAGCGCAGGACCACTCAGAGGAGACTGGTCAGGAATGAAGAATTGCATGGGGTGCAGTTTGATGAAAAGATTCAGGCCTAGATCAGAGTTTCTACATAACCCAGATGCACCAAGTACCTGAAGAGCCAGAAGTACCTATAAGGTCGACCATTAAACCCTGAGCTGCACAAAAAGCCTTCCCTAGGGAAACAGCAGCAAATCAGCAATTTACTCAACCACACAGCTCAAGTACTGGTTCCCACAGAAAGTTATGGACCAGGGGACCAGACCCCCCCCGCCCACAACCAGGCACACCTCACCAGTGCCTTGGGTCCCGCCTGGAGACCTGGGGTATGAAGCTGGGATCTGACACTCTCCAGAACCAGGCACACCGCCAGCACCAAGGAGCATGCCAAAATCATTTTCTCCATGTGGGTGGCCCACCACAGCCACCATGATAACCATGGCTGAGGTGAAGGCAGCTAGACGCCACAACCACCCCACAGTTGGTCCGCCAGCCACTGGAGTACACTGAAACAAGAAGAGTCACCAGCAGAGATAAAGAAAGGAGGAGGATGTCTTTCTCCATAGAGCCCATTCCAGAGTGACAGAAGCATCTGCTCTATGATAATATTGGGGGACCTGTTCACGCCTCTCACCATTAGACAGATCATTTGGGCAGCAAATCAACAGAGTAATCATTATTCTCTCAGAGGGAGAGAGGAAATCTAGAGTAATCAGAGGGGGGAGCAGGGAGGGAAAAGGGGATGAGGAAGGATTGGACAAGGGACATAAAGAATAATTACGATTTGTAACAATAAACTGCTTAAGACCCCCACATTATCTTACTGGGCTTCAGTTTCCTCAACTGCAAAAACATGTTTATCATTAAGCTCCATTTTAACATTAAAAATTCTATTCTTCTATGATTATATACGATACATATATATACATATATGCATACATACATACATATATTTGTGTGTGTATATAAGTGCATACTTTTCCATATTGTATAGAAAGAATTCTACTCTTCTATGATTTTACACTTGTGTGTGCCTGTACTTTAAGTGTATATTTTTTTCTCACCATGTATAAAAAAGCAGCAATAAACCTGCTGAAGAAACAACCCAGAATTCAAAAATACTTCTATTGAATAAGATGTCTGGCATACAGAAGGCATACACAGTATTAATAAATGGTGATTATAAATGAACCTATTATTTAAATATATTATTAAAATCTTAAACAATAGTGAGGATATGTTTTCCATACTGCTCCAAGGCTACAGTCTCAAAGAAAAAGAGAAAAAACATTTTAAAAATCCCATAGGAATAAATACATTTATACAAACTTTGAGTGTCCTCACAACTCAGATGATACTTTTCATATAAAAGAGTATTAGAATATCAGATGCCATTACTATTCTTATTTTGGAATTTTCTAACTGAGAATAAGAAAGTTATATTTTAAATATTAAGTTCCTTTGATAATATATCATCTTTAACTTTTTTTTTACTTTGAACTTTTTATCGAAGACTTTCAATTACAAATGTACAGTTCAATGAATTTTCACAAACACATTCATGTAGGGGTTCGGTTTTGAAAGTGGAATGTCCAGATATCTCAAACAGCACCTACCCTTCCAGGAAGAACAACTGCTTTAATCACTCTCGATACGCCAATGTCATAAAGACAGAGAACACTCCCTGCCGCTTCTTCCAATCCTATTAACAATCCAGTTCTCTTCTGCCAAGAGAATTCTTTCACTGCTAGAATTACGGGAGGCTGTTCATTTACTCCACTGAATCTATATGCAGACAACCGCTCTCCCGTTACAGAGTTTACTACCTCAAGTTGTGGACCACAAGCCAAGCAAGCCAGCCCATTTTTCCCTAGAAGAAGAAAAAAAAAAAAAAAAAAAATTTATTTTAATTTGTATGTACACAGCAAAACAAAATAGCCATTAGTTCTTTTAAATACAAATACATAATATATATATAGCTAATTACATAAAGCTTTACATATTATCCCCAAATTGAAATCTAAGCATTTATAGAACAGAGAAGTCCTTAAAGCAGTAAAATAAATAGATCTACTACTGCAATAATAATAAAGTTATCCTTCAGTAAAGACACCACGCTATGTGGTTAAACACATTATCTCATTTATTCCTTATCACACCTCAATATAGAGACAAAGCAACTAAAGCTTAATACAGTTTAACTTGCCCAAAGTCACAGTTACAAAGTAACAGAGCTGGAAACAGATCTCAACTCCATCTAACTCCAAAACTCATACATCACTACATTATACCATAAAAGATTTAAACTAGGAGCTATGGCAGGTATAAAATATAATACATGATTCTATCACTAAAGAGTTCAGTCTAACTGAAAAGATATAATTAGCATAAGTGTAGGAAATATTAGAACTCCTTCTCTGCCTACGAGTCATGTTTGGATTTTATTCTGCCTGCAATGTAAAGTCACAGGAGGGTTTTAAAGAAAGTGGCGATTTGATTTATGTTTTTAAATGTTACTCCAACAGCTAAGCAAAGAATAAACAATAAAGGGGAACACAGAGTAGAAGTAGGAAGAAGATGATACCCTGGTTGGTGGCTGTGGATAGAGAAAAGTGGATTGACTGGAAATTCATCTTACAGGCAGAATAATAGGATTTGCTTGTTGATGAATTAAACACAGGGAGATGAATAAAATGGAAGAATCAAGAATGGACCCTGAATTTTTACTTGGGCATCTAGATGAATGATAGTAACCTTTAATGCTAAATTTGAGATGTCCATCATGCATCCAAGTAGATAGTTGGATATATTATAGTTTATAGTTGAGAGAAGATATATACAGTTTAAGAAAGCAGCATGGCACAGTGGGGACCCAGAACAGAAGGGATCAAAGCTTCTTTTTGCGACTGGCTATCTGTGGAATCAAGTTACTTAACCTATCTGATTCTCAGCTACATAGAACAGTCCCTACTTAGAAAAACTTTATACCTACCTCAATGAAAAGTGGTTACAGGGCGTGGGATATAGTGAGTATAGTTACTACTTACTACTTTAACATTCATGAAAACAGCACAGTAAATATTTTTTTTTTAAACTTGTAAATAGCTTAATGACTGATGTATATGTTTTGCTGCCTTCTTGCCAGGAAGGACGGCTATGAAACTTATTTTCAGAACAGTCTTCTGCGGTATCTTTCATTAGACTGAAATCTGTAATATAATGGCTTCTTTGATATGGTTCTATGCTGTATATACACAATCTAAACTACATACTAAAAAATAAAATATTATTCAGATTAATGAAATTACAAAATAAAACTTTCTGAAAATTTTGTATCATCCAGGATGCTATAATCAGGTTTTTCTATTCATAAAATTGTTTAGGTTCTAATACAAACTCATCACCAGTAAAACTTACTGATTACAAAGAAAAATGAGCTCTCTGTTATTTCTGCTTCCCAAATATAGATACTCAATACTCAAATATAGATACAAAATACATGGGATTTTTAATAAGGAAAAATTAACTATAAACCCCCAGAGACTTGATAATGTGTTCTACAGTATGCAGATGTTACATATGTAGTTACAGATGTTACATGATGTGTGTTCAAAAAATTCACGGAAGGATTTGTATTTTCTATTTCTCCACAAACTTTCTGAATTACCCTCATATTTATATAAGTCCACTCTACCCAGGTTTTGCTTTTTTTCTTCCAAAGAAACTATGATATATATTTATTATTTATCTTACAAATCAGTCAAAGTAGTAAATTTTCAGCAACACTATTTTACCTGCAGCAAACTTTCCATGAAGCACAGATTCTAGTGTTACCTCGTCTTCTCCAAGAGCTTGAATAGTCACTTCTGGGAACTGCAGGAGACCACTAGTCACTTGAGCTGTTAAGTCTTGCATAATTACACTGTAAAGATTTGTAAAAGGTAACATTATTATGACACATTTGTACTGCAACACACTTGATTTTACCAGCCAGGAAAAAATAAATTAAAAAAAGGAAAAGCCACCACACAAAAGTAAATAAAATCAAATCTAACTCTTGTTATAAAATACATATATGTGCATCTTGGCCTGAAATGCTCTCTCCTAAGAAAGTATTTCCCAAACAGCCTTAGAAAAGTAAAGATTCATTAAGCCAGATGTCCTAAGAACATACATTATTCCCTAGATTCTTTGAAAACTGGTTCAATGCAATTCATCTTATTGCCTAACCTACCTCAAAGAACTCATCATCAAAAAAAAAAAAGGAAAAAGAAACCTCAGAAATTGACTTTGGTATATGTCTTTCACTGGATAGGAAAAAAAAAATCTACAACTGTCCTTCATTTCCAATATACAGGGCTGGCTGATTAGCTCAGTTGGTTAGAGTGTGATGCTGATAACACCAAAGTCCAGGGTTTGATTCCTGTACTGGCCAGTTGTCAACAAACAAACAAAAAACTATAACCCCCTAATCAGAGATTTATTGATAATGTGTTCTAGAGTATGCAGATATTACATATGTAATTTCAGGATCGGTAGTACACTGGTGAGCACAGCTGCATTCCAATATATAAAAGACTAGATTCCCTGAATGACCCCTCCCATTGAAAACAAGCAAAAATGTTGGTTAAAGTATAAAAGTATCTTTTTGAATGACGAAGTTAATAAAGTCAAAAGTGAACAGAAGGTAGAAATTGCAGGAGACACATAAGCTGGCTTTGGTCTTGAGGGTTAGCTACTAAATCCAATCCTGGTGGCCCGGATCTTGTTTTGAACACTCAGGTCCACAGAGGCCAGAAGATAATGCCTAAGGCTAACAAAGCTAATACAGCAAAGAGGAGCCTCCCCTTTAAATTTGCCCCCATTAAATTTCTCAGGGCTATATGTATCATCAGCCTAAAAGTGAGTAGAGAGAAACATACATTGTGCAGGATGGGGAGTAATAAAGCTGTCCACCTTAACAATGGCTCTGAGTCTCTGACTCAGAAAAAGAAAATTTCCTTTCACACAAATTTGTGGCCAGAATTCAAGCTATATTATCTGAAAATTCTCAAGTGAAGAATTTATTATGAAGTATTCTCAGGCTGAAAATACTCCACGCAACCCACAGAAACAAGCAAATATCCTCTGGAATCACAAAGAATTCTCAAAGATGAAGTTCCAAAGAAAATGAGCTCACGGTCAAAATAACAAAACATACAAAGATAACAGGATCAACAGCCAGTACTATCAGATGATCAAAGACTACAGATGTTATCAAAGAATTATTTTCTATTCTATTAAGTTCTATTCATTAAAATGTTTACAGAAATCAAAGATTTAGCTTGATAATGAAGAGGAAACTGTAAAAATTATTACGAAAAATGGCAAAGTAGATTTGAAAAAAATAATAGAACTCCTAAAAATAAAATGAAATAAATTTAAAACTCAATGGGAAAAAAATTCAACGTAGCAATGAAAATAAATTACAGCTACATGCAACAAGGAAAATAAATGTCAGATGATAAAGCACAAAATATATGCAGAATTACTACATTAAAAAGACACGGGGGCCGGCCTGTGGCTCACTCAGGAGAGTGCGGTGCTGACAACACCAAGTCAAGGGTTAAGATCCCCTTACCGGTCATCTTTAAAAAAAAAAAAAAAAACTTCTACAGTAGAGAAATACATTAAAGGGGCTTCCTAGACAAGATTAGTGAACTTGAAGACCCACAACAGAAACTTAAATGAAGCATGTGGCCGGCCCGTGGCTCACTTGGGAGAGTGTAGGGCTGATAACACCAAGGCCATGGGTTCGGATCCCTACGTAGGGGTGGCCAGTTAGCTCACCTGGGAGAACGTGGTGCTAACAACATCAAGTCAAGGGTTAAGATCCCCTTACTGGTCATCTTTAAAAAAAAAAAAAAAAGAAAGAAAGAAACTTAAATGAAGCAAAGAGAAAAAAAGACTTGTGGGGATGGAGGTGGGGGAGAACAGAGCATCAGTGAGCCATGGGACAACCTCAAGTGGCCTAACTGAAGTCTCCAAAGGGAGAGAGGGACAGAAAAACTAATGGTCTAATATTTGAAAACCTAATGACCAAAAATAAATCCAAAAATCCAAAAGCTCAATAAACTCAAGCACAAGAAACAGGACGAAACTACAACAAAATACATCATAATCAAGGGACAAAGAGAAAATGTTTAAAAGGAGCCAAAAGGCCAGCCCGTGGCTCACTAGGTAGAGTGCGGTGCTGATAACACCAAGGCCACGGGTTCGGATCCTATATAGGGATGGCCGGTTTGCTCACTGGCTGAGCCTGGTGCTGACAACACCAAGCCAAGGATTGAGATCCCCTTACCGGTCATTTTTTTTAAAAAAAAAAAAAAAAAAAAAAAAAGAGCCAAAGAAAAAAGAGATATAGGGCCGGCCCGGTGGCACACTGCTAGAGTGCGCCGCTTGGGAGTGCGGCGGCGCTCCCGCCGAGGGTTCGGATCCCACATACAGACCGGTTCCCACTCACTGGCTGAGCAAAGTGCAGGCGCAGCACCGAGGGTTGCGATCCCGTTGCCGGTCCCAGTCCGGTACGGGCGCAACACTGAGGGTTGCGATCCATTGCCGGACACGAAAAAAGACAAAAAGGAAAAAAAAAAGAGATATAACAGAGGAACAAAGATAAGAATAACAAGAGACTTCTTGAAAACAGTACAAGCCAGAAGACAGCAGAAAAGGAGAAGAGGAAGAAAAAAAAAAAAGCTGCCAACCTAGAGTTCTATCTCCAGTGAAAATAAGAAGGCAAATAAATAAATAAAAATGAAAACAAAATAAAGAGCTTTTGGACATACGGAAGCTGAAAAGACAATCACAGGCAGACCTGCACCACAAGGAATGTTAAAGGAATTCCTTCAGGCAGAAGGCAAATTATATTATTATTGGAGAGACGGGCGGGGGGGAGGGGGGGTTGTTTGTTTGTTTGGTTTTTTTGTGGCTGACTTGTATGGGGATTTGAACCCTGACCATGGTGTCATCGGCACCATGCTCTCCCAGGTCAACTAACAGGCCAGTCCAAAAGGTAAATTATATTACATGGAAATCTGGATATACATAAAATAAAAACCACTAAAATTGGGAAATAAGTTAGTAAATACAAAAAACTTCCCCTCTTATTTTTCATCTCTTTAAAAGACTACTTTAAAGACTATTTTAAACTATCTGAAGCAAAAAATGACAGCAATATATTAAGTTTATAACATAATTACAATTAAAACATGACAACAAAAGCACAAAGTCCTGGAGAGGAGAAATGGAAACACTGTTACAAGGTTCTTATACTATACATGAAATGCTATAATATTGGGCCGGCCCAGTGGCTCACTTGGGAGAGTGTGGTGCTGATAACACCAAGGCCACGGGTTTGGATCCCTGTATAGGGATGGCCGGTTTGCTCACCTCGGAGAGTGTGGTGCTGACACTATAATATTGGGCCGGCCCCGTGGCTCACTCAGGAGAGTGAGGGGTTAGGATCCCCTTACTGGTCATCTTTTTTTAAAAGAAAAAAAGAAATAACTGAACTATTTTACTTATGACAAAGATAAACATTTCAAATCACTGCAAAAATTACAAATGTTTTTTTTTTTTTTTTAATTAAAAAAGATGACCGGTAAGGGGACCTTAACCCTTGACTTGGTGTTGTCAGCACCACGCTCTCCCAAGTGAGCCATGGGCCGGTCCAAAAATTACAAACTTTTAACAATGTTCTGAGATAATTTAGCTATCCCTTCTGGAAAAAAAGGTCCCTTCCTCAATATGATATAGAAATAGGAAATTATGGATGGATAAAAGAGTCCCCCCTCCCCCCAAAAGGGAAGCTATAACCTATGAAGCAACTACTATGTACCAGGCATTAATCAGACTTTAACATCTTCAGGTAAAACTGACACTATGTCTGTCTTGTGGTACACTACCTCCTCATTCTGAGTACCATCAATGAGTACCATCATTCTTCATTCATCATTCATTGGCACCATCTTCTGAGAAGTATAGTACACCATGCTACTTTTTGAGGAAAAAATCGCTTCATGCCTAACCCCAAAAGATAATAATATTAGAGGTGAAAACTGACATCTAAAAGGCAAAAATCATCAAATCTTATTCCAGGGCATTCCACAGTGACAATGCCTTGCAACTAACAGGTCCTAAATGTGGTAAATTAAGATAGCAGGATATGAAGTGAAACATTGGTCACGTGTTAAACAATAAAATGAATTTTTAAGAGTTCAATATTGGGCCCGACTTATTTTTAAGTATACATTGTTTCAGTATTAAGCAAAGCAAACGTCATAAAATTACTAGGACAAATATTAAAACAGAAAACCATAAATCAGTTTTGTGTGAAATACACGTATCATCAAAGTAACTGAATTCCACCACAAAAGATACAACTCTAACCTAGTTGTTCAATAATTATAGTGCAACACATACTGAGCAAACATTTCTACAAATATTTTGTATATAACTTTACTTTTTCCTTTTTCACTAAACAGACTAAGAATTATGATTTAAATATAAACTAACAGCAGATCCAGAATCTTCCAGCCTTTTTAGCAGCTATTCTTTCAAACTTAATTCAAACATTTATCAATCACCAACTACTTTTAAAACCCTGTGTTGGGAAGGAAATGCAAAAGCAGAAGGATGATCTACTTCCTGACCTCAAGGAAGAGGAAATACATTCTAGAAGAGGAGATACTTAAACAACCATGAGAATATCAGACAAAAAATAAACGCTACAATAGTGGTACAGAGGCTGTCACATCCCAGGGAAGAAGTGGGAAAAAAGGGAAATGAAAGTGTGCAGAGAAAATGATCGCATTTGGAAGAAAAATATAAAATATGAGACTCTGAAAAAGGGAAGATGGCACTCTAGGCTGAAGAAA